ACATATCAGATTTGCGCACGCACTGCAAATCACTTGCTGGTAGTGTCTCAGTTTCCAACGAGCAGGCTGAGTACATTGAAAGGACAACAAGACAGCAAAACCGATCTTTAACCTGGCAACACCATCGGGCTGGGAGGGTTACAGCATCCAACATGCATTCAGTTTATGTGACAAACTTGGACAAACCTTCACAGTCAGTAATAAAAGCAGTGTGCTACCCTAACAACACAACAAGCATGTGTAGTGCTATTGCATGGGGCGAAAAAAACGAGGACACTGCCCGTGAAATGTACAGATTGCAGTGTAACAGAGATCACTCAGGGTGCAAGGTTACGCAGTGTGGTTTTTTTATAAACCCAAAATTTCCAGAGGTTGGGGCCTCACCTGATGGGCTTGTGCAATGTGTCTGTTGTGGCAAAGGCTGTATTGAGATAAAGTGCTCATATAAATACCGGGACCAACATGTGACTGAAGCTTGCACAAACTCTGACTTCTGTTTGGAGTTATATGAAGGAGAGATGCGACTGAAGCCAAAACACCCCTACTACAAACAGGTGCAAACTCAGATTTTTGTCACAGAGGCTGAATATTGTGATTTTGTGGTCTGGACAACAAAAGACTTTGCTGTTGTGCGTATTTCTCCGGACCCTGAGCTTTGGGCAGCTGTCCTCGAGAAGGCAAAAAAATTTGTTGAATGTGTGAGTCTCCCTGAAATTGTAAGCTGTCATTTCACTAAGGTAGTTAACAGGCCAACACTTGCTAACATTCCTGTTCCTGCCTGTAACGACAACAGAACTCAGGAAACTGGCCAATTACCAAAGAAGTGCAAGCGAAAATGTGTTAAAAAGCTGTGGTGCATTTGCCGGTGTCCTGAGAGCAAAGATGACATGGTCGCCTGTGACAACGAAAACTGTAAAACAGTTTGGTTCCATTTCAGTTGTGTGGGTCTGCAGCTTGCACCTGCACAGGAAGAGACATGGTTTTGTTCTTCATGCACCAGTAAGATGTGAGGCACATACTTTGCTTAATAAAGATGGCTTGAACAAATGAGAAGCTTTTGTAATTTTATTTTTATGCAAGATATATTTGATATGTTACATTTTTTTAACCTTTGTTCTGCATCACGACAGGTAACAATTAAGAACCACCAAAATTCAATATGTGGATGTAAATCTTATGACAACAGTTGAACATTTTGTATGTTTATTTCATTTCATTGTGTCATAAATCATTTACAGTAACTGTCACATTATTTAATTACAGTTGGGCAAAGATTTGTAAATGCACAACACACTGTAACCACTTTATCTAAAAGCGTTACATCCTCACACTCACATGGCAGTATCAGAGAGATTGGCATTGTACCTGACAAGATCTTATACTTTTGACATACATTTCCAATCACCCTTTCAACATGGATTCTCAGATGTGCTATTTTTCTAGTTTCCTCCACGTTTTTTGCATCTAGCTGACACATGCCTTTTGTAAAAGCAGGGAGTTTCACCTCAGCACACAACATCCCAACATGTTCTTGAATATCAAAACCTCTGTCAGCCAAAACAATGTCCCCTGGCAACAATTTATCAAGAAATCCACTATTAAGTGTGATATGCTTGTCACTTGTACGCCCCCCCCCCCATCCTTTGGACAAAAAACAGATGGCTCCTCTGGGTGTAATTCCTATCAGGTACTTCATGGTGTGGTTGTGCTTATAACTTGAAAACATCTGGGCCCGGGCTTTGACATTAGATGGTCTCTCTGTAAAAATTTCAAAGCAATCAATAATCACAGCAACCTTATTTCCAAATGAATGCACAAACTCGTGTGGCATAACTTTACGCAATGTGTCTCTGTCTGGCCACACAATAGAAGGTTGCAGGATTGTATATAATTGTGACACAGTATCGCTGAAAGCCCTGTAGACAGTACTAGGTGAAACAAAAAACAGATCAGCAAGGAGATAAACAGGTACATCGAGTCTTAGCCGCATACATGTCAGAAGCAGCATTTGATATGGTGTGAGAAGTGTCTTTTTGGGGTTTGTGACAGAAACCAGCAGTGACAGTATTTGCATGAAGGTTTGAAGATTAGGCAGTCCTGTATAATGTCTTACTTTATCATTGTCATCTTCGGAAAAAAAGCCATCACTGAACTTAACTCTGTTCACCTGCTGCCTCAGTTCTCCATTTTCTTCTCCGAGTCTATTTATTTCTGCCGACTTAAGGGCACATGCTTCACATTCAGGGATGACAGTCCCCTGTTCAGCAATCTGTTCAGACTCATCAGTCGGATCTGAAACGCATTCCAGCTGCACCTCAGCAAACAGATCAGCCTCCTCCAGGACATGATGGCCACAAACGTCTTCATCCTGCTGCGCCACTAACTCAGCTTCCTGTGATGTGCTGTTACGTTGCTGGTCTCGTTTACGTCGTCTTGCATAGCGTGCTGCGTCAGTCGGTTTAACGTCAGTGTGACCCAGACGTAGAGATGGAGCCCAGTCCGCATCACTTTCCATCATCTCATAAGCTGGCTGACCTGCAATCACATAGAGATGACAGATGAATGACAGATGACAGCTGTGATATGTCAAGACAGATCTTAAATCCTGCTAGTTGTTCTGGCTTATTGCTATTTTAGCCCTGGTTTAGTTCAGACTTAGACAGTATTTTTAGTCTAAATCTGACTTAGCTCTGTTTTCAGACCTAGTTCATTATTCGTTTATTTAAGTACGTCTTGTATATAAATAGGATATAAATAAAGTACTTATAGATAACTGTAGCATCACAGAATAATAGAGAAACACAGCATTAAATAAAAAATCAGCTTACCTTTATGAAAATGCAGTGAACAAACACGCATGTTCGCTGATATCTGATTGAATGTGATCTCCTTGCGCCTGACAGCTGCAACCCAGGCCAACCTGCGTCTCCTGCTTAGATCTTCCATTTTGCTGTCCACGGTCTTTTCTATAGACGGGAAACCTGAAAAACTTTATGCCAAAGTGTCCTGTTTTACTCGAACAGCCTTTTATGCAACACCAACGAGCCATTTTTGAATTTAAAAGCACACTCGGCTTAAGGTGGAAAAAGAACTGAAGCTAACTCGGAAAAGCTACGCTGCTATCAGTACTGCTCACGACGGTAATCCCCCCAATATGGCGCCCAGCATAGGCGTGACGTCACGTGCAAAAGACCGATATAACACATTGTCCAAAACATGTCCCTCTGTAGTTTGCTTTGGTGCAACAGGCTCAGTTGTGAGAAGACTGGTGAGACCAAATGGAACATCTGGCCACATCTTCTTATATCAAGGTGTTCTGACAGGGGACAACTGCTCGGTCCCAGTTGTGCAAATGCTGTCAGAGACACGACATAAATGCAATTGCAACATGGCTGACAGAATGGCTTCGTACAGGTGCTGCTGTACCAAAGGAAGCCGTGAGTGACTTCTCCCTGGCTATTCTCGGTGCTCTGGTGAGGGCCTTCACTCCTTACCCTGATCTGAAGGCATACATTAACGAATGTTTCCGTCTGCTACTTGGAAACGAGTCAGCAAACTGTCCTCCATGTTTTATCAGAGTTGATGTGGCACACTGCATAAAGATGATCTGCCAGTGGGACTGCCTGAAAAACAAGTCACACCGTGTCAAAGACTTCTTTGTCAGAGCAATAGCCAAGCTTCTACAATCACAGTGTTTGGACCATGCAAAACAGCTGATACATGCGATCACTGTTGTGGCCCTCAGTGAGGCAGAGGGTGATGATAGCTCTGGAGTTCCTCTGGAATCAGAGAGGTGCAAAAAATATCTAAAACACAGATAACAGAAGACTCCATCATTCCAGCCGAAGACACAAAGGAAGTGCATCAAATGGAACCTTTAGACGAGATCCAGACTGACCTTAGAGACTGGGTATCAAACATATGCGAGAAGAGCAGGTCACTCGCTGCAGCCAATGGGGACAGGGATAACATCCATTTCCTCCCTGAGATTGTTCCACACATTATAAGACTTGCAAGTTACTTGCCACTTTGGACAGGAGTAATGGTCCCCCTCTTCAGAAGCACTAGCCTCACTGCAAGCTCAGCCACTGTGGAAGCAGAATTCAAAAATGTAAAACATGGCCTTTTTAAACATGAGAACTTGCCCATTAGACTTGATCGATTTATTTCTCGTCATCTTTCCTTCATCGAAGGAAATATGAGGATTTGTTCTGGGAAAGTAAAACATGAAATAGCTGGATTAACAAAAGTTTCAGAAACAAACTCTGCTTCCATGAGCACCCACAGTGCTGAAGCCAAGAGAAGAATAGATTCTCACCATTCTCCAGAACTTGATGAAACAAACATTCCGCCAACAGATGAAGATGTGGTAGAAAACTGGAGGGGACTAATTCTTCCACCGAAAAAAAGGAAGAGGACTTCATATCTTACTTCCTGCACTGAATGGCTCCATGCAGATCCATCTGTTCGGGGAAAAAGAGTGAAAGTGGGACTATTAAAAAATGGAAACCTGCATCAACCTATTAAAGTTGGAAAATTAACAATATCTGTCCAGAACACATGTGCATTTGATGCTTTCTGTCAGTGCTTATGCTGTGCTTTCTGTGACAGTTCAGCATTTCAAAATGTTGTCAGGAATGACAGTGACAACCCCATCTTGCAGCTTGTGAAAGCCATTACTGCAGATAGTGTGACCCCAAAGATATACTCACAGAGGGCAGAGCTGCTTAGTGCAAGGTTTCAAAAAATCGAGTTGAAGTCTGGAGCCCACCAAATCGATGCCCAGTGCAATATCTCCACTGTCATTGGTAAAACAATGAGAAATGTATCAAACATTTACCTGTCTAAACACTGCTCTTCTCAGTACTGCCAGCTAAACAAAGGAACAACTAGGGAAGTACCATTTGTTTCTCCTGACATTTCTGTCCTGATGAAGTCTGGCTTGGCTCAGCTTGGTACTTCAGTCGAAAATGGACTCTTACTTCCAGAGTCCATGCGCGTAGCCAGGGGGGGTTCGGGGGGTTCGAACGAACCGCCCACTTTGCCAATGAAGTCCCACCTACAACTCCCGCGAGATATAGAACTGCGAGGTGAAGACGACGTTCACTCTGTCCTGGCTTGGAAGGCAACACGGTGGATTCAAACGGTAAAATTACATTGTGGTTTTTGATTCAACTGTTCATTTGTGTATTTAAAGTAGTACCGTTTGATGTTAGAGAGATTAGAAGTGGGTCACGTTTTTATAAGATATGGGATAATGCTAAAACATGCTATAGCTAAGCTAAGTTTGTGACGACGATTTTCGCCATGTTTTTTTTCCTTGTTTTTGTCTATTTCCGCCATGTTGGGAACAGTAATTTATCTGAAATTGGTACCAGTGTCACCCCCATTCTATCCCTAAAGCTAAGTTTACAGTGATAGGACACAGTTAATCACAGGAAGCCTGAAACGGAGCGTCCATGTTTTTTCTAAACAAAAGCTACAGGTCTCAGGCTTAGTTTGGACAGGATACATGTATACAATAACTTAGCAGTGTTGAATATGGTGAAAAATAAATGTTTGGATAATTTTTCAAAAGAACAAACATTCAGAAAAACTGTTTTTCAGGTTTCTGTGCTGGATACCAACCTTGATGGGTAGGTGCAAGCAGAAGGACAGAGAGAGGAAAAGAGCAGCTGAAGGTTGTGCTTCAATGTTCAACTTTGTTTCAAAGAAACCGAGAGTTCCAGGTAAAAAAAGATAAATAAAACAGATCTTCTTGTAAAATAGATTTGTCAATAATATGTCTTAGAATTAATAATAATAATAATAAACTTTATTTGTATAGCACCTTCCTACAATGCCTTGCATTGATCAAGGTGCTTAACAGGACAGAAAATATAAAAACAGGTACAATAAATCAGTGAAAATAAAAACAGCAGCAATAAAAGGAGGCAGTGGAAATAAAAATACTAAAATACCAAAAGTAATAAAAGTTACAGACTGAAAGCTTTTTTTAACAAGTGGGTCTTCAGTCTGGTTTTGAACAGAGCCAGATCAGAGGTGACACGCAGCTCAAAGTGGAGACTATTCCAGGCTTTTGGGCCGGCAAAAGAACAGGACCGGTCTCCCCATTGTTTGTACCTTGAGCAAGGCACCTCCAGCAGGTGTTGACTGGCAGAACGTAAAGCTCTGCTGGGCTGGTCGACTTTCAAAAGTTCAGATATGTAGAGAGGTGCAAGTCTATTCAGAGCTTTAAAAACAAACAGCAGCAGCTTGAACTGTATCCTGAACTGAACCGGGAGCCAGTGTAGAGAGGACAGGACAGGAGTGATGTGTTCATATTTTCGTGTGTTGGTTAAAAAGCGGGCGGCAGAATTCTGTACAAGCTGTAAACGGGAGATAAAAGACTGATTAATTCCAATGTATAAAGCATTACAATAGTCAAGCCTGGAGCTCACAAAGGCATGGATGACTTTCTCCAGATCACTACGGCTAAGGAGTGCCTTTACTTTAGAGAGCAGACGGAGCTGAAAGAAGCTGGTTCTGACAACAGAACTGATCTGTTTATCCAGCTTTAAGTTGGAGTCAAGCTCCACTCCAAGATTTCTTACCACATGGTTGAAGTGGGGGAGCGGAAAACTGGGACTGGGAGGGATGTTACTGGTGTCACTGGATGCACCAAATAAAATGCATTCAGTTTTATCAGTGTTTAGGTGGAGAAAGTTTTGAGAGAGCCAGTGCTTAATGTCATTTAAGCAGTTGACAATAGCGTTTGAACTGAGTGAGGGATTGAGAGTGACCGGCAGATAGATTTGTAGATCGTCTGCATACAGATGAAAAGACAGATTATGGCGAGCAATGATTGGTCCTAATGGCAGCATGTAAAGAGAAAAGAGAACTGGCCCCAGAATGGATCCCTGTGGTACACCAGATGTCAGAGGGATTGATGAAGAGGAGGACAGATCACCTATCATGACAGAAAATGTTCTGTCTGTTAAGTATGATCTGAACCACTCAAGCACAACTCCCTGAAGGCCAAACGGGTGATTAGTACCTGATGGTCTACAGTGTCAAAAGCTGCTGAGAGGTCCAACATTACCAGCAGAACAGGTTTTCTTGCATCCAGGGACAGAAGAATGTCATTCTGTACTTTAAGCAGTGCTGATTCTAGGATTTCAAGAACAAATATTTTCTTATTTAGAATGTATTTCTGTAAATTCTTTTAGCTAAATATTAAATATTTTGATATAATTATTTAAATGCTAGAAGTGTCTAAAAAATATTCTAAAACCTCTTATTCACGTGTCATATGTTGTTGATTTAGATGAAGGCAGTGCAAGTTTGGTGGGTACCAGTGCTTCTAATGATGAAGATGGCTGCCTCCATGCTGAAAGAAGTAACGATGATCAGCTGAAAACGCAGTCCATTTACACAGGTCAGTATAAAAAGCTGGAAGCAGATCTATAGATTTATTAGATAGATATATTAAATAGATAAATTTTTCACAGGTCCACAAGTGTCTTCATATGACATTGGAAAGGTCATCCAAGCCACCATGAGTCACACTGAAATAGATGAGGCTATTAACAACATGTCACCTGGGGACAAGTACATGATGTTGAAGAACCACGTCAAACCAGGGTCGGACTACATTTTCCCAAAAACTTATACAGGTGGATGTTACAGGTCATTTAAACTCTCTTGGCTTCAAGAGTTCAACTGGATGGTTTATAGCCAAAATGTGGATGGTGTTTTCTGTCTGGGCTGTTCACTGTTCTGCACAAATCGTTCTGCAAAAGGATCGTTTGTCACCCGCCCTTTTACAGCATGGCAGAAAAAAGCAGAAAAGTGCCGTGAACATCAGAGTTCAAAGTACCACCAGGAGGCTCTTCAGCTAAAGGATGAGTTTCTGTCCTCAATGGAGAAACCAGCAGCAAATGTCAGGACACTACTGGACAAGCGGAAGGCTGATAATGTGAGGAACAATCGGGAAGTGGTAAAAGCCGTGGCTGAGACTGTTTTGTATTGTGGCAGGCAGTGCATTGCACTTCGAGGTCATGTAGAGACACCTAATGAAGAGAGAAATCCTGGGAATTTTCTGAGACTGCTACAATTAGTTGCCAACCATAATGAAACTGTGAAAAATCATCTAGCCTCACCTATGATGAAGAATGCAACATACATATCCCCACAAACGCAGAATGAGATTTTGGACATTATGGGAAATGACTTCATTCTCAGCGGTCTTGTCACAGAAATTAAGGAGGCCAAGTTCTACTCAATCCTGGCTGATGAAGTAACATCACACAACATTGAACACATGGCATTTTGTGTGCGTTTTGTGGACAGAGAGAGCAACATTCGAGAGGAGTTTCTGACGTTTGTGCCACTTTCCCACACTACAGGTGTTTATCTTGCCAAGACAATTCTACAGACAATTGAGAAAATTGGCCTAGATCCCAGCAACATACGTGGCCAGGGTTATGATGGTGCGGCAAACATGTCTTCACAAAATGTTGGTGTTCAAGCAGAGATCAAAAAAGTGGCACCACTTGCAACATACACGCACTGTAGCAGCCATTGTCTCAACTTGGTGATAGGGCATTCCTGTGGTATTCCAGAGATACGAAGTGTGATAGACAGGCTTAAGTATTGCTGTTCATTCTTCCATCATAGTCCAAAAAGATCAGGTCTCTTGAAGGAAGTGGTGAAGAAGCATGTTCCTGACATAGAGAGAAGGAAAGTTCTTCTTGATTTATGTCGCACCAGATGGGCTGAACGGCAGTCAGCGTACCAGCGCTTCTATCAGGGGTATCTCTATATTGTAGAAACCTTGGAGGTGATTGGCCATCGGATGCACCTGGAGGATTATCCGGCGTACATCAACTGGGATCCAGCAACTCGCAGTGATGCTCAACAAATATTGGCTACCATGACAACATTTGACTTCATCATCTCATTTCTTACAATATACCAGTATTTGTCTCACCTTGCTGGCATCACTGTGAAGTTGCAGTCATCTACGCTGGACATCATACATGCACATACAATGGTAATACTCTTTAGCATTTTCACTATAAAACAGGGATAAAACATCAAAATAAAACCAGTTCTTTGCTTTGTCATTTAATATTTTTTTGTTTGTTCTTTGTTTTGTTTTTTTGTCACAGGTGTCTGAGATCCAATGTGTGTACACATCTCTGAGGGAAGATGTCAGGGAGTCATTCCAACTGGTCTATGACCAAGCTGTGCGTATGGCTGACAAAGTGGGTGTGACACCATGCAAGCCCCGCATCACAAAGCGTCAGCAGCACCGGAGCAACATTCCATCTGAAGATGTGTTCAGTCACTACAGGCTGAACCTTGCCATTCCATTCCTTGAACACATCATAACAAACCTGGAAGCTCAATTTTCTTGTAAGAATTTTACTCTTGTGAAGATTTACAAACATCTAACTACTTGACTCTGTAACTGGATATGCCATCTGTTTGCATGTTGTTTGAACATTTTAAACAGCTACATGCGGGCATCAATGGGGAAGGAGCGTCTCTCATCACTGGCACTACTTCACATTCACTACAGCAAACACATTGACCTTGACAGAGTTGTTGATGTGTTTGCAAACAAACACTCGAGGAGGATGGAGCTGGACTCACTTGTCTATCCAGAGATATAAGATGTTGGACAAAACTGTCTTATGCATTGTAAAAAAAAAAGGTTTTGCAAAACTACATTTGTCTTGAGAAATTTTAATCTTACTCTATAGTGTCATTTTTTTATGTGTAGATGTGGATTGTATTGTATTTTTCAATTCATTAATTTCATTCATAAAAAACAATGTCTAACAAAGCAAAGTAAAAAGATGAGTTATTTTTGCAATTGAAGTAATGTTATTATTTGCGGGCTTAGTTTGCATTTATGTTGTTAGAGTTAAGGAGTGGTACTGTGCCTTTAAGAGGATGACGTCTTTCATTCTTCTTCGGTGTTTTTTTTTTTTTTTTTGTGTATGTTCGGGCGGGACTCGGGAGTACCGAAGTGTTCGTTCGTGTCTGGGATGAGTTCTGAATAGAAGACTGGACACACACGCTATTCCCCTCTCAGTGTGTTGCTCTTTCTCCACTCACAACCGCCTATTTGGTAACACAGATTTACCTCACACAGCAGTGTTTTAACTAGCTAGCTAATTAGCTTGTTTACACATTTGAAGTTATGTGTACCACCGCCAATGAACCAATCAGAGTAGTCCTACAGGTCCACTTTTTCTTCAAACGAACCGCCCCTCATAAAATCCTGGCTACGCCTATGGAGTCTACCTGCCTTCGCCAACTACAGAAAGAATCAGAATGTCCAGTTGCATTCAAAACAGGAGACAGCACGTCAGGGAAAACACTCTGTGCAGGAACTCTAACTCACAGCTACCAAAGTGGAGAAATAGCATGGATTGTCACTGACCTCTTACAAACTACTCAGTTTACTTTGAGTGAATTTCCCTCCGTTGTGGCTCTCCAAGGAAAGACATTCACTTTGAGAGGAGTCATCCTTTTCAAGGGAAGCTTGACCAAAGATGTTATGGGACATTACACTGCATACTGCCGTAGAGCTCCGTGTGTGTGGGAGCTTTATGATGACCTGGCAAAAGCAGTGAAGACAATTTTGTTTTTTGTCTCATTTAAAGACATATGCTTTAGATGGCAAAGTCAACCAAGTCCAATAGCCTGCATTTTGCTTTTTTCAACAGTAATATTTTCTCATAAATGGGGTGGATGGGAACAAAACCGGAAGTGCATGGCACGTATGTCATTGGCTGAAAGTTCATTTATCCAAGTGATTTACTTTTGTTTAAATACAATTTAATATGCAGCGAGCTTTAAGTTCTATTGACATTTAATGTAAGAATTTTGGAAAAGAGCATTGAACGTTTGGCAACTTTGATATGTTAACGTTTTCACATAATGTCATAGGGATTGGCTCCGCCCACGTGATGACCATCACGACCCTCACCTCAGTGAGCAGGTGACTTTTTGGCAGTAAAGCAAGAGAAATCTGAATTTCCCATTCAACACTTTCCATGGAAAAGTAGCATTTAATAGTGTCTTGAAGAAAAATTTAAAATCCTTCTATTGTCTGTACCAATCTCAAAAGTTTTTTTTCTTTGTTCTGTCTGCAGACGATTCGGCCCCTCCTTCCTGCTCAATGGTGTATGAAAAAACAAAAACAAAAAAAACAAAAAACACGCACCTGTTCACACATCAGAGGTGAAAACACACAAAAAAATAGATATAATGTGAATATAAAACTATGGAAAAGTGAACACAGTGTATAAAATGTCCAATATGTGTGAACACACCCAGCCTGTCCATTCATCAGTGATCATGGACAGACCGTTTCACATGTTGACAACCAAACAGCTGTTGGACAACATCCAGAGAAACGACCGGTATGTGTAAGTAGGCGTCTTTCAGGTCGATGCAAACAAACCGATCATCCCAAAACACTGAAAATTCCTGCGTTTCTCCTTTCAAGGGATGAAGTATCAGTACAGCAGGCTGCCATTTGGTTATTCCCTCGCGCCTCGTACGTTCTCAAAGTGTGTGGAGACAGCCCTGCATCCGTTACAGAGCAGGGATGAGTTTTGTTTTACCTGGACGACCTGCTGCTGCTGTCATGCATTACCTTGTTTTATAATGTAGCTTTATCTTATAACAATAATTTACTTTTTATTGTATATGCATTTTACGGCTGTTTGTGTGCACCTTATCTGTGGTTTGTCTAAAACAGGTCTCCCTCTTGAAACGGTCATCGTGACTTACTGAGACTGACCTGTAAGTTTGAATTAATTAGTTGATTAATTTTTCCCTTCGTTCGGTTGCTGTTTTCAGCAAACTCAACTCGCATGAAGACTCGTCAATCGTTTTACCGGATGCCCTTCATTCAAAAAGCTCAGTTTTTCACTGGGATTACAAAAATGATTTGCAGGCTTTATTTAATTTTTATTCAATTATAAAATAATTAAGTTAAATTCTGTATTTGGTTTACAAGTTTAATCAGTCGTCAACCTCCAGTACAGATTTTAAATATTTACTGTCATAAACAAGCTTATTTTTCCGTACGGTAGTTGTGTCTCGAGTCTCCGTGAGCTGCGGTCTGTTTTTCTGTCAAATACAAAATTAATGATTTTAAAAAGCATCTCGACTCCAAACTGAGTGTTTCCTGCTGAAGTCTGGAGCATTTACACTTCATCAAGGCGCCTGAATTCAAACGGGCCAATCAGTGCGCAGCATCAGCCTCCGGTGCAGACAATAGCTGTGAAGCTCCACACAAGTTTTGCTTTGGACTGGTGTGTTTCGATACCGGGTAAACTTCACTCTCGTATCGGTGGTATCGATACTTTTGCCAAATATGCCAAACGTGTCAGGTAAACCTTGGTAAGAAAATAATCTAAGTTAGTTTATTTATGTGTTGTGTTGCATACCATGAAGGTGCAAATGGTAAGTTGTGTTAGTTTTAGCTCATGTCTACCAACGCCAGTAGTGAATGTTTACAGACATGTTTCGAAGACGGTGTACTAATCCAACTAACTAGTGTAACTACATTTTAATTCTTTGGGTTAAGGTAGTCTGGATTTTCCTGCCTTGTTTGACACAAGGCTGAAACTTGTAAATTAGCCAACCTCACAGCTGTGTTGTGTAGATAATGTATTGTTGCAGCATCTGTGGAGAACCGGTTCAGTCCGTGAAAGCTTTTGTTTGGTAATGCAGACTGCATCGTAAAGAGTGTAGATGAACATATACGCGAGATATATTCATCAATTAAACGGATTCTTTCATTTTTCTGGACTGTATATAATGTGCATTGAATTTAGAAATGTAACGTGAGACGTTAATTATCTTTGACCCATCAAAATGAATGCGGTCATTTATTAACAGAATCAAAGTTTAACACATCACACATTTACATTAATTGGCAAAATATGAAAAACAACAACAACATGGCTAGTTTTAGCAAACTGTACAATTTTGATTATCCACACGGCGGTGGATGAGAACTTTACACAGACATTTCTAAAATATCTGGAATGATTTCTACTTGATAGAAGAATTTTAAAGATGGAAAGATGAAGTTTAAAGGGAGAAAAAGATGGGTGAGGGGGTTTGTTTATGTCGGCACCAGAAACGGCACTCTCCGGGCTTTTCTCAGCTTCTTCCCCAGTACACTTAGGTGTTATAAACCAACTTTTTACCTGGAGATGTCCCCACCGGTACGAAAGTCCATTCAACGCACCCTTTCAGCGTCTCCGTAGGAACAGCTGTGAATCGTCCGAAGTAGTGACGGTATTCCGTCCGACACAAATTCACCTCACGAGTGGACTTCACATGAGTGGAGTCCGTCAGTGTTCCCCCGAGAGGTGGAAAATGTTATAATCCCATAAGACTCGGAAGAGGTCTGTGGTCATGTCAGGATCTTCCTGTTTCCCAGCACGGGAGCTGCAACGACTCCAAACTCGACTGCAAACTCGACTGGAAACTCCACACAACGACTCTCGACACTCTCCGCCACTCTCCAGACACTGGTTTAAACTAGGAAGTACCGACATTTTAAAGAGCTCTATTTCCGGTTCATTTGGGAATTCCTGAT